ACGAGAATACCCTCTTAGTTAACTCGGTAAAATTAACGGTTTAGGAAATATTTGAGATTTTATATCACAGTGTACATCGAGCGCCGCGGCGCCTCCACCATTTTTTTGTTTTTAATTTTTATTTGGACATAATTACTATGTTAGAACCCTACATATTTTTAAAATAAGAGCCTAGAAAATATTACTGTCTGCTAATGTAATTGTCACCAACAAAATTTGACAAACATACTTTACACATAACACAAAATAGAAAAACAAAACAAGAATAGTTTATAGTAAGTTAGATATTCAACTTCAAATATCGAAATCCATTCAGACGTTTCTCAAAAACGTATAAACTTATTAAATTATTAGACACTGTTAATGTATGGGCAGGAATAGTGGGTAATAATCTAATAGGTCCATACGTGTTAAAGGAACGTCTGAATGGACATCGATATTTGGAGTTTTTGCAAAATAATTTGCAGCCACTATTAGACGATGTTCCATTATACACCCGAAGAAACGTTTGGTTCACGCACGATTGGGCTCCTCCCCATATCAATATTGATGAACTAAATTATTTATCGGTCGTGTCCAATAAATGGATTAGGAGAGGAGGCTCAATTTCATGGCTACCACGTTCAACAGACCTTAACCCAATGGACTTCTTCATGTGGGGATACCTGAAAAATTTAGTGTATTCAACTCTAGTACAGACAAGGGATGAATTGCTACAAAGAATTAATTTCCATTGTAATAATATTAGACATACCCCAGAAATGCTTTTTACATTATTTTTTTAACTTTAACCTATTCTTATTTTTTTTTCTATTTTGGGTTATGTGTAAAGTGTATTTGTCAAAATTTGTTAGTGAATATTACTTTAGCAGACAGTAAGATTTTTTAGGCTCTCATTTTAATATGTACGGTTCTAACATAGCAATTATGTCCAATTAAAAACACTGTGACATAAAGTCACATGTATTTCCTAAACTGTTAATTTTACCGAGTTGAACCAAGAGGATATTATCGTTGGCAAATTCTTCAGGGAACTTATTTTTGATACAGGCAGATTACGATCGTCATCCATGCAAAAATTCTGGGTTGTTAACCATTGGGCATAGTCCGTCCCTGGTGTTTTAGGTATAATGAAGTTTCACTTACAACACCAAAAACAAGTAGTACGCATGTGTTATCGATCACAAAATTTGCATCATGCTGCAGTTAATAGTTTAGAGACTGTAAATAAAAATAACTTTTTAATTTGCACCTTTGAGGGTCCGTAACTTGTTAACGAAGGCCCGTATGAAAAAAATATATATATGAAGAACTGATGTTATTTTAAATTCATCTATTTGTACTCGACTTTTTTGTGTAAAGTACCAGGACGCCCTGATTAGGTGTTTTTTAAATAAAATTTGCAAGAGTAAATAAATATGTTTAATTCCAAGGATACCTATAATTACATTGATCTCTATGTTTTTATTGCAATGCAATACTTAGTCCTATTTTGGTAATGAAGCTTGAGACCCAAATCGTTTTTAAGGAATTATTTCTAAGCCCACATACGTAAACTTTCATGATGAAAAAATCTCTAACAAAATTTGCGAAATAAAAAATTTAAGGGGGCAAGGATGGCTGACCCTGAAATTTCGGAAATTTGCAATAAATCTTTTTCATAAGCAACTGACAGATTTTTAAATTTTTTTGCAAAATAAATTTTTCTTCGTAGTGACAACTACTTCACTTTTAATATGCTATCAACATTCCATTTTTCAAAATTCATATGCTGTAACTTTAAAAAGAATTTAAATCTTTATCAAAGGTAATGAGAGAATACAAAATACTTTGAATGATTACATCGTGTTTTTTTTTTAATATCTGTAGCATACCTAGGTTTCTGGTATCGAAGAACATTGTTTGAGTTTATTTGATAAATATTCTTTTAGAAAAATTGTTTGAAAACAGTTAATACTTTTAAAATCTAACAAAGAATATACCAACTTTACTAATGGTCTTTACACTGTGAATTTATTATTTACCAGTAGGTACATTAATATAAGTACAGTGTGTAGAAGACATTAGTAAAAAGAAAAACAAATAATTTTTGTAAAAGGATCTTCTAAGCAATTTAAATGTATCGTCATTATATCAATAAGAGATGGCGGAATACACGGCACTTAGCGTTCTATATTATTGGTTGCTTTAAGGTTATGGCATACTCTTATTGTCAAATCTCTCTTATACCTGTGGAGACCCATAATCTCATATAAAACTTGCTATCGCTTTCGCTTTCTGGTTATTTTACGTCGGCCTATTTCTACTACCATGGCTAAACACCGCCACCAGTAGACAAGCAACCACCAACCTGGAAATTTTGCAGAACCCCCACTTTGTTGTGGGGTAGAGATCTGTTATTTGCCTAACATAGTTACACAAGGGAATCAACGGGTTTACATCCTTTCCGAGGGATAGTATGATAAACATCGTCAAAATGTAGGTATAACTTCTGTGAATACACCGACATATAAGCCACTAGAAGGTGGACGAGCATCGCGAGCCTTCTCCGGATGGTCACGCATTCCAGGATTAACCGCAGTCAGCGTTGCTTGACTTTTCATATAAATGACATGAATGCGAAGTCGCTAGGCCGTACTGGCTCTGTCATATAAAACTTTAATCGGAAGAAATAATTTTATTCAAGCCGTAAAGGCATTTCTTCTTCCGAAAAAAAATATTAATTTGAAAACAATGTTTCAAAAAGTCCATATTTGGGTGAATCATATATCCACGGAGATTTTTGGCTTTTTGGCTTTCAAATATCATTAGAAATGAAAATTTTTCTATGCGCATAAAAAAAAGGTGGGCTTAACTTTTGACGTTAAAAAAATTCGTCCTATTTAATTATGTATCTTTTCAAGAGTTGATTTTAGGCGAAATGGAAGAGGAAAAAAAATGTTTGTAATTAAATTTTTTACAAAATAGGACTAGTTACAAATGGAAAAATAATGATTATTGTAAAAATCGAAAAAATCGTCAAAAATTGTAGTTTAAAAACATTACTTTTTAGGGAATTTTTTTGGGGTTTTTAAATTGGGTGGGGAAAAAAAATTTGCAAATTTTCAAAATTTTGCACAGCAAAAACCAAGGCCCTTAAATACATGAAAATTTAATCACATATAGAAGGGCTCTCAAGCTTTTAAACGCTTTTTGAAAAATTCGAATCCGTCAATTAGGAGAGCTCTGGCGCTTGTTTAAACATTGGGAATTGTTGTACTTATAAACAATTGGAATAACTTTGTGAATATTCAACCAAATCAAATTTTTTAAAAAAGTTCTTGGAAACACGCTTCTTTAAAAAAAACAGAAGATTGGTCCATTAATTACGTAGTTACAGCCGATCAAAGTTAACCGTAATTTACACTAAATGTACTGGGTCATCCGGGCTAATTTTTCGAAAAATACCTTTGGTATTCCGAGTACTTACCAGGTCTAAGTTTGCAATACTTTTCTTCATTGGCAACCTACTTTAAAACGTGTTTAAAGTTATTTATGCAAGCGAGAAATTCAAGAAAATTGTACGGGTGGTGGTGGTGGGAGAAGTAGAGAGCGCGGCCGCTTCAGCCTACTCGAAATTGAATCGGCGAGTTCAAAACCGCGTTCTAAAATTGTTTAAACAACAATTATTTTCAAAATATGTCGAAAATTAGTAATATAATGAGTTAGTTTCTCATTTGCTTATAGTTTAAACAATAAATAATATTCGAATTATACTTTAATCACAAAATAGAAATGTTGATTAAATTAATAAATTAATTATAAAAAATCAATAATATTTTATTAATACTTAATTGCATTAATAAAACAGGATTTATAAAATGTACACAAATTGACCAATCGATCTGTTTTTTTTAAAGAAGCTTCTTTTAAATAACTTGCTTTAAAAAATTTGATTTGATTGAATATTCAGAAAGTTATTCTAATTGTTTATAAGTACAAAAATTCGACCAAGCGTTTGAAAGCTTGAGAGCCCTTCTAAATGTGATTAAATTTTCAAGTATCTAAGGTCCTTGGTTTTTGCTGTGCAAAATTTTGAAAATTTGCACATTTTCTTTCAAAATCTGGATTGCAAAATTATTATACAAAATCTATTGAACCGATTTTGATGAAATTTGGAGTGATGATTCTACATAACATGAAGTTTTCTTGAGCCAAGTATGAAGGTCCTATACTCAATTTAAAGACCCCAAAAAATTCCCTAAAAATTAATGTTTTTAACCCCATTTTTGGCGATTTTTTCGATTTTTACAATAATCATGATTCATTCGATTTGTAACTAGTCATATTTTGTAAAAAATGTAAATACAAACATTTTTCCCTCTTCCATTTTCGCCTAAAATCAACTCTTGAAAAGATACATAATTAAATAGGAAGAAAAATATGACATTTTCCGAATTTTTTTAACATATTGTGCCGCCAAAAGTTAAGCCCACGTTTTTTTTTATGCGCATAGAAAAATTTTCATTTTTAGTGATATTTGAAAGCCAAAAAGGCAAAAATTTCCGTGGATATACGATTCACCCAAACCAAAACAGATACCGATTAGTCTAAATTGCTTCCATCGAATCTACCACGTCCTTTTACGACTGAATACCAAGTTTGATTGATATTAGTCAGACAATCCATATAAAAATTACAGGGGGCAAGTCATTTTAATAAAAATCTATCACCCTGTATATTTCAACTATGAACTTTATATGCTAAATTTTGAAATTGTACAATGTTTTATTTTACTTTCAAGTCATTTAGATTTTAATGTTAATTCATCTTTATCCATAGAAAAATATTCAGTACAAAGAAATTTAATTTTTTATAAATTCAAAGTCTTCTCTGACATAGCGCTCGCTTTTGTTTCTCCAGTAACGTTTATTAAAAATTCAAGACACGCTCTACGCGTTTTTTTTCTTTAGTGTTATGTACACTTTTAAGAAAATTATATTTATCCTGTAACAACTTACGTGAGCAGGTTTTATATTCGTCACTTCCGTCTTCGCAATCTTGGATACCGTTGCAGAATTTACTTATGCTAATACACTGTCCCTCGTCACACTGATATTCGGATTTTTTGCAGGCCGGATACACACTCCAGGACATAATTAGCACTAAAGCGGAGATAAGAAATATCCTCTCGTACCTGAAAAATAATGATACAAATTTAGTTAGCTCTTCTGTAAGATGTTGTGAATTTTGAGAATTCTTCTCATATGAGAATTACGTTGAGTTTAGTTATTTTCTAAAAGTGTCACTTTATTTTGTAAAAGATGAAAGTATTGGTGTTATAAAATAAAGACACTTTTAACATGTATAAAGGGTTGTTACCCTTATGTAATAATAAATGGGTCGATTCCGCCATACAAGGTGTAAGTAAATATGTGCGAAAAAATTTAGGGGGTGATTCCTTGTTGAAAAACAAAGTGGGTCCTTCATATAAAAAAAATATCATTTGATCATTCTCTAAGAGGGTGCCCAAAAAGATAGTTTCAAATTTTTTCTGAAATACCAAAAAAGTGACAGAAATGAAATTAAGTAGACTTTTTCTGATACGAGAACACTCAGTAAACAATTTGTTGAATGTCCCCTACTGTTGTAAGGGGTAGAAAAATCCACCCCTAAGACTTATTTCATACGTAACTTTTTTCTTATTACTACCTTACCATTTAAAAATTAATTCCAGCCTAATTCATTCTAAACAAAAAAGGACTTTTTTGTAAAATTAATGTTTTCTGAGCAAAAACAAATTATTTAAAAATCAATTCAACAGCATGGTTGGCATAGGGTAGAAATTTTATCGAAATGTAATTTATCAAATAGGCATTGACATTTCGTAATAGCAACTTAATTATTATAATTAATTCAATATTTTTTTAAGTATGTTAAAAAACAAACTATTACAAATTATTAAAGATAATATACATTATATTAAATGTTGAATATTTGTTTCTCCACATATTTAATAAAATGATTGCATTAATTGTAACAATTAAGCTAACATTACAAAATGTCAACGTGATAATCGCCTCCTAGATAAATTACAGTTCGATAAAATTTCTACTTTATGCCAATCATACCATACAATGACTGATTTTTGCTCAGAAATCGTTAATTTTACGAAAAAATTACAAGACACATTTTGGTGGAATGGATCGGGCTATCTGAAAACAAGTGTGCTCTACCACTTAACCCTTGGATACCATATAAAGGGTGTTTCTAAAATAGGATTCCAAACTTCTGCTGCGTTTATAACTCATTAAAATAAGCCAAAAAGTTCCTATTAACATGTGCCCTAAAACGCACCCTTAGGAAGTTATATGCCCTGAAAAATTTAAGTATACAACATTATTGCAACTCATAAATGGAGTCATATTCAAACACGGAAATGGCAGATATGCACTTGAAATACCTGTCGAGAAGGAAGTCTTCTATTCGGGTATACTGCCGCATACAGACGCCTCGCTTCTGATGCATTTCCTGCCGCACGGCCGTGCATAAAGTGCATATTTGCCATTTCCGTGTTTGAATATGACTCCATTTTATGAGCAATAATGTTGTATACTTAAATTTTCCACTCACCACTTTTACTAATTAAACACTGCAAAGCTCAATTGACAGTTTACATTGGAAATATCGAATTGGAAAAAGATAATATTTTTTACGTAAAATTGTTAAGATTTTAAAAATCTGTAGAGAAAATTTTAAAAAAAATTGAAATAAAAAAATTACGAGCCGAAAACCCCCTTCACCAACCTAAATGGGACGCATATGATTTGCATGTCGAAAAACGGAGTAGCCCATGTTATTTAACGTAAAAATTTATGTAAGACCCATATTTTTTTTTTAAGGATGCCAAATAGTTATTCTACATTCCTATTACATTTTAATTTCTAATTTTCTTAAAGTTAAGTTTTTACCATTCGGGCTCCAATTTCTAATGTACAATTTTATTTTCTAAAAATAATGTACTCTTGTTAGAAGTTCCTAATGTGGACGGTTTTCGAGAAAAAAGGCTTTTAATTAAACTCTTACAATATTACGGTGTAGAAAATAAGTGACTTTTCTCAAAGTAGGCTTATGTCAGAACATATTGATGGATGTCTCATAAACAACACATACATTCTTAGTAATATTTTAAACTCTAATTAAATTTATATCAAAATTTTAGTGACTGTAATTAGTCATTACTAACTACAATCACTAACAATCACTAAAAATTTTGGTATAAGGTTAATTAGAATTTAAAATATTACTAAGAATGTGTGCGTTGTTTCTGAGACATCCATCAATAAATTTTGACATAAGCTTATTTTGAAAAAAGTCACTTATTTTATACACCGTAATATTGTAAGTTTAATTAAAAGCCTTTTTTCTCGAAAACCGTCCACATTGGGAAGTTCTAATATGAGTACATTATTTTTAGAAAATAAAATTGTAAATTGGAGCCCGAATGGTAAAAAACCTAACTTTACAAAAAATTGAACTTAAAATGTAATAGGAATGTAGCATAATTAACGCCCTCTATGAAATATACAAAAAATAATTAGACCAGCGTATTTGGCATCTTTAAAAATCCCGGAATGCCTTTCATAAAAATAATTCGAAACGTAAAAATTCTAATTAAAAAATTTTATTTTGTTGCTCTGTATCTCGAAAACAAGAGAAGGTAGACATATAGTTCATAAGACAAAAAATTCTTATTTTTTGTTGTACTATCACCCCCTGTATTTACGGGATGTCTTTCTGAAACATCCTGTATAAAACGTAGTCAGTATTACATTACAGTAAACACATAAATTACAACAACAAAAACAATAGCTGCATTAAATAAGTAACATTCCTAAGAAAATAACATTGGCCTAACAAATCTTTTGAATTTTGCATAACTAAAATATCCTGCACAGAGTGTGACGCTGTTGTGCAACCGGTATACAGGGCAGAAAAATCCACATGGTCCATATGCCTTTACATGAGAGCGACAAAGTAAAGTAAAGAAATCCGTGCGATAGACAAGGATGACTATAGTGAAGACGTCTCATAATCTGAATAGTCACCGCCCGTTTCGGGTTAGAAGTGGGACTGACTATTCAGATTATGAAACGTCTTCAATGTAATCATCCTTGTCTATCGCACGGATTTCTATGACTTAATTTATCGCTCTCACGTAACGGTCGATGTACCATGGGGACTTTCCGAACCTGTATATTGTATTTAACACCTCTCTCAAAAAAGACGTTTTACGTTGAGGAGGGCTGAGTAAACCTTTGGATCTAATTATTGATATTATGCACATCACTGCAAAATATAATTTTATTATATGAATAAGGTGGAGTCTTAGTAAGTAAAAGTTTACGAAAAAAAAAAAACAAAGTGAGTAATGTTTTCTCCGTTTGAACATATCCAACCAGCCAAGTTCATGCAATTTATGCGATACATGATCAAATTTACGAATACCAAAAAGAAAAAGTATACACGCATTTTGAACGCGCTGGATGAGGTTGCTGCTATCAATATCAAGGCAACGTCTATATACAGGGGCACAAAATGAAAACTGAGATAATATCAATATCTCACAAAGCATTCTCTTAGTATTTAAGTTTAGATATGTATAGTTTTGCACTATTAGAAAATTTTAGACTTATTTTCTTTCCCAATTTTTTATGAGGACTAAATTATGTGTCTGCGTCTACGATTTCTGTGTTATTCCAGGAATTAAAAGAAAGTTTCTTAAAACTTTATACCTCATTCGAAAGATAATAAAGGAGAGAAGTTTTGAAAATAATTTGTACGTTTAATGTACCTATTCACAAATTTTAGAAATAAATCGACGTGAATGTATAATTGTATTGAAGTTTCTAAAAACTTCTGTAGGTTTTAGCTCCTGTATTTTTGTAGTATTTAACATAATATTTGTTGCATAACTTGAATTACTATGCGAATTAATGGTAAAATTAAAAATGTGTAAAACAGTTATCTCTTTTTTTATTTTAGAATTAGTAGTATTAGTTAGTACACTCCTAAGAAAGCACTAAAATTTAAATATCTCGAAAACTATAAATTTTTGGATAATGCATATTTTGGTTCAGTTGACTGCAAATTGCCTCTACTAACACATCTTCGAAGGAATACGTCGACTTACCAGTCACCCTGTATAATTAAAATAAGATCGTTTTTCCACAATTTGAGCATGATCTTGAATCTTGAATCTTAGGGATGGTTTTTTATCACTTACAACCGTAGGGGAAATCAACAAATTTTTTACTGAGTGCCTTCTCGATATAAGAAAACGTCTACTTAATTTCATTTCTATCACTTTTTTGGTATTTCAGAAAAAAATTGAAAACTATTCTGCCACCCTCTTTAAGCGGTTGTTTTCATAAAGCAAATGAATTTTTTTTATATGAAAGACCCACATTATTTTTCGACTGATTTTCCTGATTTTTTCGCACTTACATACTCATACACTTACTCTGTTTAAAGTAAATTGATTCATATGCCTAACGATTACAAAATGCTCCTAAAAGTCTTGTATTCATAAGCAAACAAGGGAGGAGTTTCTCCAACAAACAACACCATATCTCAATTTGGAACTCACATAATGCTTGATAAACAGTTAAAAATTGTAAAGAAGTTAAAACAGGTTTCAGGTTTCTTATCAAATAACATGCCGAGGTTAATTTCGACATAAACTAACCACAATGAGATTTCCAGGTTATGCATTCGCCAATTGTTACTCCCATAAATTTAATTTCATTTTCATAGCGTAAAATATTAGATTTAAAGTTAAACTCAATAAGGCACAATGTTTTTGCCTATTATGGAACGTAATTACTTGAGTTTTTTTATGACTGAAATAGAGATGATTAGACTTATACCACGCACCCACCTCTTTAAATAAAGCATTCGTTGTTGTTTCTAAAGACTCGTCTCTGTACAGATACTAAGAAGGATGTATCATCGGCATCTATAGGATTGGCTCTATACTTCGCGGTCTATGGAGAATGAATCATCGCTAGCTCTTAGACTAGTAAGGAGGATGAAGTGTGCGAGGATCGAAAATCCATAGGCGTATGAGTTTAGAAGGCAATAAGGTATAAAAAAAC